TGATCAATTTAGTTTTTTTTTTTTTTTTTTTTTTTTTTTTTTTACCCAAGACTGTACAAAGCATTCCACATCCAAAATTAACCAAGCATGAATCTAGACTGTAAACGTTCATTTATCTTTGCAGCTAAATTTAGAGTTCTTACTCAGTTTTCATAATTCCTCTAAAAACATGGCCCCCAAACATAGCTAGAGACAAAACAAGTAACGATTTCTGCTACAGTATTGTTTTAGCTGTGACTATCAACACATATGTGCCAAAGGACAAAAAATAACTAAACAAACCAAACGTTGCTTTATTGAAAAATCCTTACCTGCAGCTCTATAAAGTATTTTAGGTTCAAAGAATATGCATGGATTTTTGTCCTCTATGCATGACAGCAGCAGTCCTTTGGCCTGAAGAGGGCTCCTTGGAATAACAATCTGTAAAAATAGTTTATTTAAACCACAATTCTGCTACAAGTTTCCCAATTAATACTAAAAAGCAATCAATGCTTTGCTTTAAAAAAATTAAAGAAACTACAACTTCAGGTACAGGTTGAGCAATTCTTACAAAGTGAATTAAGATCAGTGCCAAGTTACTAACACACACTCTGAATTTTGAATTTTATTTTGTTCACTTATAGCCTTGAATAGTTCCCCTCTACATCATGATCTAAATACTAATGAACTCCCTCCTGCAAAGTAGAACTAACATCCTAACAACAATATTTTGAAGTAGAAGGAACAGAAAAAAAGTCAGTCAGATTAAAAAAAAAATATTGTATGTTAGTTAAGTAAAATTAATGTCAATGCATGGCAAAAAAAATCTGCTGAGTGATCCTCAGTTATTTGGGTAAAGTCCAGTAGGTTTTGAAGATTAAAAAGGGAAACAGACATTTAAAGTTGACTTCCTTTGGTTATGGTGGAAGCCTGAAATTTATTCATTATAGAAGTGAACAAATAACAAAAAATACCTGAAAAAACCACCAAGTGAAGAGAAAACTATGTAAGGTCTCCAGATGCAATCTGAACACATGGAAGGAAAAGCATAACTGATTTGCCAACAGAGGAGTTACTTTTGGATGATCTAAGAGAATGGGAACTATGAACATAAAATTGCCGAATTATCAGTTTAAATGAAAACAGAACCTGAAAGCGCAAATCCCTCAAATCAGAAGGGCCAACTAATTTACATCCCAGAGATATCAAAGAGCTGGTACTTGCAGTGTGAAGTCTACTAGGTAGCATTTTCATAGCTATGAAGTTAGAGATGACCTCCTCTGACTGAAAACTTCAGTTGTAGGATGTGTTTAAAGAAAAACAAAAATATCCGTGTAGCTACAGGCATTAGCTTACTGTCTCCAGGAGTTTCCAAGGCTTCAAATTATATTTTTTTTGAGAATATGAACATTTAATTATATAGAAGTAATAGAGAAGCTAGAAATAGCACAACATAAATCAGCTATCACATCAAATTAACTTGATAAGTGATTTTTCTGAACAGAAGAGAAGCAGTCATTGATATTTCACCAAAGCATTTGGTAACAAACACGTGGGAAATTACCCTAGTGATGGATGTTACTAGTGCAGCTCTTCAAGGATTATTTTTAGCCAAGATTTTATTTACGTTATTCATTTAGAACATGGTAACAAAAACTACGCAAAAGCTGAGAGTCACTTCCACTACAGAGGATGATACTAAAAAAAAATCTAGTACACATTAGGACATGACTGACAAAAGCAAAAACGAACTGAACAACACATTCTGAAAAGTCACACGTTTGAGGACTACATTTTTCTTATAAATTTAGAATTCAGCAGTAGAAATTCAGATCTGAATTTATGATCTGCTTAGAGGATGACTAGGATACTATGCAGTACAGCCCTAAAAAAATACAGAAATATAGCCAAGAAAGTGTAAGTGCTGTTGCAAAAATCACTGCTAGAAACTCAGCTGGAATACTTCATTACTACATCAACCATTTAGAAAGAAAAAGAACGAAACAGGTGCCAACAGAACTTCAGAAATTAACATGTCTTTGACCTGTTTAGTCTAACAAAAGAAAGATTAAAGGGAAAACAATTGTTCTGTTACTTGATGAAAGGCAAAATGAACAACAAGTTAAATACATGATTTAGGAACAAATTTAGGCTGGAAATTAAAGCTTCCAGCCATGATGGCAAATACTCTGAAGCAGTCTTATAGAATGGAGCGAGTCAATACAGTAATTTTGAAAGACACTCTGATCCATTGACATATATCCTCACAACCATGGACAGAAGGTACAACCATCTAGCAATGCCCTCATCACCCCAACAAGCCTTGTCTTAAGCACTAATAATTACAGCCCCTCCCTGAACAGCCGAAGTTGTATTAACTCCCTTTTGCTATCGAAAACCAAATGTCACCTTTCACTTAAGATTCTTATTTTGTATTTTTCTCAAGTCAGAAACCTGCTGCAGAGTTTAATAAGAGGGCAGTTTTGAAAACCACTCTCCCCAAAGATTGGTCATACCCTTCCCAGCCTTTAGTATACGTGACTTTTCCTCCTGTAGTTCACAGAAAATATGCATAGATATGGGACTTTTGCAAAGGTATCTGAACCACAAGTTCATTTGCATTTCTGGATCCATATGTTAGGGGCTGGGTTTTGGTTCATTCAGAAGAAGACCAGCAACCTTGAAGATAAAGCCTTAAACACCATTAACTGCATTAATGATGGATGGTACTAGTGCAGCTCTCAAAAAACAGGAAAAAAAAATTTTTGCTTCACAAAAAAGCATTAAGGAAACAACATTGTTTTCACAAAGATGCAAACCTCAAAAGATTAAGAGTTTAAAACACTTCTCTGTGCATCTAAATCAAGTGTTTTGTTCCACCTGTTCCACAGAACTTAATGAGATGACAGCTGTTAGTAGTAGCAGCCTATTTTAGCACTTTGCCCAAGGAAAAGTGAAAGAAAGTAAAAAACCAAGAAGTATCAGAGATGAGAGAAATGCAGTTACCTGGAGTGACTAAATAAAAACCTGACTTGGCTTATTCAGAAAACTAAGCACAGTAGTACTAGGGTGCTATGAATTAGAAAGAGTTTTGATCACCACAGTGGACCACTAAATCTCAGCACTTGGTTCAGTATATAAAGCTTTGGCATTGACCACCATGATCAGTATAAATTAGCTAGATCTGGCATCAGTATCTTAATCATGTAAGTTATCTTGTGCTTCGATAAAATAAACTGCCCTCATTTTTAAACAAGTTGAAGAAATCACTTGATTCAATTACCTGGCAAAAGACTTTGTAAATTGCTTTTGTCTATCTGGAAATATTTAAGTTTAGAAAAGGAACACCTCAAAGAAAACCCAAAGACACAAATGCATTCTGTTTCTCCAATGGCATGAAGTAAAATATGAGTAAGATTTTTGTATTTAAGAGAAACAAGAAAAATGGCTACAGCCTCCCTGTAAATGAGTAATATTTGAAGTTTTAGAACACCAAAATCATATATAGACAATGGTTTAAACAACAAACGAATATGAGTCTTCAACATACAAATACTGATTTTGCTTACATCTTCCACATTAATCAAGCAGTGAGTCATTTCTCAATGGACTAGATGCCAGTTAACCTAGAAGTACAAGTTCATAAACAAAAAATTTACTCGTTAAAAAAAAAAAAAAGCAGAGCTGGCCAACAGTGCTCTCGATCTGAGGCATCTAGATCCTGGCCCTCCCTCTTCTCCAGGAAAGTTATCCATCTAAGCACTGGGAATCTGAGCTTCAAGGGATGTCATCGTCTCAAGCAGAAAGCTTGCCGAAGTTATCACTCAGAGAATCACAGAACAGTTGAGGTTGGCAGGAACATCTAGAGGTCACCTGGTCCAATGGCCCTGCTCAGGTAGAGCAGTTACTCAGGACCCCGCCCGGAGTGCTGCGTCCAGCTCTAAAGTTCCAATATAAGAAGGATTTGGACCTGCTGGAGCAGGTCCATAGAAGGGCCGCAAAGATGATCAGAGAGGTGGAACACCTCTCCTATGAGGACAGGCTGAGAGAACAGGGTTTGTTCAGCCTGGAGAAGGCTCCAGGGAGACCTTATAGCGGCCTGCCAGTACCTGTAAGGGGCTACAGGAAAGCTGGGGAGGGACTAAAGGCATGTGGTGATAGGATGAGGGGCAATGGTTTTAAACTAGAGCAGGGTAGATTTAGATTAGATGTTAGAAAATAGTTCTTTATTATGAGGGTGGTGAGACAATGGAACAGGTTGCCCAGACAAGCTGTGGATGCCTCATCTCTGAAAGTGTCCAAGACCAGGTTGGATGAGACTTTGAGCAACCTGGTCTAGTGGGAGGTGTCCCTGCCCAGGGCAGGGGGGTGGGAACTAGATGATCTTTAAGATCCCTTCCAACTCAAACCATTCTATGATTCTCCAACCATGTGCAGACAACTTCTAAAAACCTCTATGGATGGAAACTTCACAACTTCTCCAGGCAACCTCTACCAAGTGCTTCCTTATGTTCAGACAGAACCTTCTGTGTTTCGATTTGAGCCCACTGCCTGCCACTGCCATTCATATAAAATGAATTCAAGAATGTACTTGAGAGACGTAGAAAGAAACAAAAAAAAAACCCCTAATAATTAGCATTAGGTTTTTGTTTGGTTTCCATACTATACTGGACACAGAATAGATCCAAAATGCATGCTTTTAGTGCAAAAAGCACACAAATACAAGATATTTTGCCTACTAAAGATTGCTTCAATAACAGCTATAAATTCTTGCACATGTAACACATTTTATAACTTGAAAACTTCAGAAAGTTTTTAATTAACATATTCAGATATTTTGTTGTGGACTGACTTGCATTCTTCTTCCCCTGCACGCACCCACACTTACTGTTAGTCAAGTCCATTAAAAAACAAAACAAAACAAACGTATCTTCATAAGATTTACTGTACCTTTATTCCTGGACAGTGAGCAAAAAAAGCTTCTGGACTTTGAGAGTGGTACAGCGCACCATGACCCACGCAGCCCCAGGGAGCTCTGATGGTGAGGTTTCCACAATTAAAGAGATCTCCAGAGCGGTAACGATACTTGGCTGCTTCATTAACAATCTGGGAAGATTTATACACAAAAGTAGCTTAACTTTTAGTTATGCACAACTAAGCCCCTACAATACATGAGATGTAACGACATCATCTGCACTTCACATGGGATTCAGAGGACCAAATTAGAAGCAAAGGAATACTGTAAGCCAGTGGAAAGGCAAACATTTTCCAAGGCAAATGAAGGAATACTTTAGTGTACTCAAGTTATATGCCTATAGCCATAGAAAACCCAATTTTGCCACTCTTGTGTTGTCAGTCAGCCCAGCTCAAATTTGTAGTTTGTCCTGTGGACACATGGCCGGCTGCAGCAGCACAGAAAAGTGAGAGATGGTGGGAAGACACAGCTGAGGAATTTAAGGCTGCTGAAGCCAACACAGCCACAAAAGCAAAAATAAAAACAAACAGACTTTTGCTTCAAACCACATCTTTAATTTCCATCATTTAATAAGCTTTCGAACTGGCCTTGGTACTTTCCTGTTTACTTAAAGCATGCGTAAATATTAGTAACACAGCTGTGGATATATCTGGAAAAACTACATATTCAAACCAAATATTAATACTAACAGAAGAGTAATTTTTAACAGTCATAAGATTTTTTTTTACTTCTCTCAAATTTATTAGTACTAACCTGATCAAATGCTGGAAAAATGTAATCTGCAAACTGAATTTCTGCAATGGCTGTAGCACCCGCAACAGCAACTCCAATACCAAAGCCAACAATTCCTTGTTCACACAAGGGGGTGTTGAAAACTCTATCTTTACCTATTTAAAAAAAAAATTAAAAAACCAATTCCTTTAAACACATCAGGTTTAAGTGGAAAACATTGCCCCATAAATTTTCAAGCTATAAACAAGTCACCCGCAATTAAGTGTATGGCTCTTTAGATGGGCTTTTTCAGGTGTAGAAACAATAAACACTTACTACTGGTAAAGATACTTTAATTTGTAACAGCTCAGAGGAATATAGGGAGAAACAAAATGAAAGATAAGAACAGTTTCTTTAACTTACAATGTTCTTCACACTTCAAGGAAAAAAAATTTGTTTTAATGTATGTACACATCAGTATGCATATCTCTCATACTTACACAGGAAGAGTAAAGAATACTTATAAAAATGTCAAAAAGCTTAAAATATTGTTACTTCGATTTTTTTTCTAGCAGTCAAAACTGTCAATACTCAAAGGCAGGTGAATCTATGAGAGCATCTGTATGGAAGCATACTGTCCCTCATTCACACACCCCATAAGCATTGCCCACTCTTACCAGTCCTCTACCATAAGGCACGGCTGCGCTTAATAAAGAATTTGTCTTCAAGGCAAGAAAAAAAAAAAATAATCTGTTCCTGATGTTGGAGGCACAAAACTGGAAAGCAAGTATTTTGGGGTTTGCATCTTCCCTACGGGACTGCAGAAGGTCATTTTAGCCCTCACATATTTGTGTGTGCCACAGTAATTTCAGATTCCAAACATGCATCAGTCAAAAAGATGGCTGAAGGCAAAATTGTTCAGTTCATGCAACTAAAAACAAGGAAGATGGTAAAATGAAATTCTACTACAGCATCCTCTGTAAGGCATATTTCAAAATATTTGCCAGCAGCACTGCATTCCCTCAGCAGATCAGTAGGAAAACCCAGTTATGCCACTAAATCTTCCCTTTAGAACACTGGGAAATAGACAGTAGGTTTCTACATGAGTCCATCATGCATTAATATGCCAAGAATGATAATACAATGTCAGTGGTGTCAGTGAGATTACACAAGCCACCACAAGTCCAAAGGGCTACCACGATAACATTTCAAGCACCTTAAGTATCACCTTTTTGAAGAGAAGTGCCATTTTCTCAGATTAAGTCCTTCCAAACTTCTACAACTTATATTCATTTCTTATAAATCAATGTTTGAAACAAAAATCCCTGAAACTTACAGTACTTTTACAATACATGCATAATCAGCTACTGCTTGTTCAGAAGCAAATTTCTAGGAAACTTCTTAAACATCTATGACTTAGAAGTCCTGCTATTGCTACTGGAGATAAAGCTGTCACCACAGCTAGCTCTGTAATTAAATCTGAAATCCAGATTAACAAAATTATTGCGTAGCTTTTGAAAGAAAGTGGAGTTTCAGTGTCTGGATGTCAGATACACCCAATATTAGTCTGATCAGCTCTGAATCACAGCCAAGTACCCTGCTGATCAGAGAACTTGAAGTAGAAAAACTTGCTGGCTCTCATCTCCACGGTACATGAACAAGCTGATCTCAGTAATTTCTGGATGTGGGTCATGTGTACTTCTCTTCATATCTCCTGAAAGAAAAATAATCATCCCTGCAGGTATGGTGTTCAAAAGTTGTTCAGACTGAAAATAGCACAGAAAGTGAGAATGGCAGAACAGTGCTGCCATTTACTCTTACTGGGCATTTATTTTACCAGCACGTTGCATCCATGCATGGTCTGCATATTTCTGCTCTTCCTTTGCCAGTACTACCAATGCGTCTGGCAACAGCACTACATAAATCCAGCCCTGAAAGAATTTCATTCCATGTAACAGAAAGAATGCTCTGGGAAACCCAGAACTGGGGAAAAACATTTACAGAAGAATTGACTTGTAGAAGTCGTAACTTGCAGAAGAATTTATAGAAGATGTAACTTTATTGCCCTCATAATTAAGTTATACTCACTTCTAACAGACATCGTGTCTTGGCTTTACTGCCAAGAATTAACAAAAATCAATTCAAAAAGCTTCGCATAGGAATCATCTCTTCCCTTAAGAGCTCACAAAAGGAGAAGATTTTGGCTATATCAGTATCACGCTAAATTAAATCTACAATAAATTTTAAAATATGGATTATATTGAAATCAAAATATTCAGCTGGCCTTCTTTTCTTTTGTGTGAATTTCTATTCTCATTTTCACACACACCAATTCACTGAAATACAGGTAACCCTGCTTTACAATTCTATCACATAGCCTACACAAATAGGCCAACATCTGAGCAGAATAAAAAGATTGTTCAGAAGTGCCTAGAAGTCAGATCATACCAAGTTTACCTAAACTTCCTCTACATTAACAGATTTTTCAGAGTACACTGCAATACTCTAACACATTTGTTCCATAAATAATTTTAGATCACTACACAAAAACTGAAATGCAAAATAAGTTTAACTGATAATTAATAAAAACTTCAAAATTATTTCTCTAACATCAATTTAATATTATATGATCCACTATTATCAATTTATATGAATTTAAAAGCATGTTAGATCTACAATAGTATGCCCCTCTATGATTTCAAAGATAAAACACATCCTAATAAAACTGCTGAAATATTATCAAGATATTAAATTAGAGGCAACATGCTGCTGTCGAAGTATGATGAAATAAATGAAGTGAGAATCAATAAAAGTAAACATGAAATATAACATAACATCTGTAACACAATCAACTTGAAGCATCTAATTTGGATTTCCAGAAACAGGGGCATAATCCAGAAGTACTACAGCTTAAAACAGTAAAGAAAGAGCCAGTTAATTGTCACTGAATGAGATTCATTACTCAGAAATTAGTTTGATTGTACATTTAAAACAATAAGACTGATCCCTTAAAAGCAAAATCTGCAGCACATTACAATGCATTAGATTAGAAAACAAGCCTTGGCTTTATAAAGTCTAGCCCTTTAAGACAAAAAGACATATGTATCATCAGATAAAGTGAATTTATTAATTTCCCTTAACATTAAAAATTGTATGGCATGGATTTAACCTCCTATAGTTATTGATACAATAAGAAACACAAAATATTTAAGCATTGAACATTTAAAGGCATTAAGTCTACATATTTTTATGTATTTTATTTCAGGCTTTTTATTTTTCACATCTTTTTCCAAAACGTGAAAAAAGCAGGCTATTTCGACAACCAGTCATTCACATCACCCTCTGCAAACCAGCTGAGTCAGATTTCAGCTGAAACCTGACTGCAGCAGACAAATAACCCAGAGACGAACTTTGTCTATCCACAGTTCATTTCCGTTCCAATGAAGAAACATCCCCTAAACCGTCCCCTTCTCCTATTACTTGCGTCAGCCACACAGCTCAAAACAAGCGAACGCAAACTGGGCAAGCTGCTGTGTCACCCCAGGTGAAAGCAGCACCTCTACAGTACCCGCACCCAGGTGCGTCAGCTGCTGCAGAACGATGTTTTGCTGGTGTCCGCTTCAATTCACCCGCCCCGCTTCTATCAACATCCCTTGTTCCAGCCATCTGAACAGGCTGATGCCCTTTTTCCAAGTAGGAAGGGAAGCAATATGGGCAAATGGGGCTATGAGGGGGAAAAAAAAGGATGATTCTTCTCTCCGTTTCTCACAGAGATAAGATGCATGTTAGCTAAGTGAATAAATACACTAGATGTGTTGCCTAGTAAGGTAAACATGAAAAGATTAAAAGCATTAAGGAAAAGGCAGTATTTAATTAAAAGCAGATTTTTAAACAATTACTTCCTCCTCTCTGATTTATTTTTTCTTAAATAGAAAAAGAGTGAGATTTGCGATTTTCAGAATGAAGAGTTAAGTGCCCCAAAAATGTTCAAATTACCACTGAAGCTCTAAGGGTCAACAGCTTTAAGGCAGTCTTACAGTCTTACAGGCAGTCACCTTCTCATCCTCCAAAAAGTTTCATAGCAACCTAACAGAACATGCTTACAGACACATGTAGTCAATTATTGTGCATTAATGTTTGGCTTACTTCAACTTTATTTGTTCCAAGCCATCAGGAAAGAAGTATTTTATATCTTGATATCTGTGATGAAACATGTTCCTGTCATAATTTAACTTCAAAAATGAGACATTCAAATGATATCAAATCTTTTATAATATCATCACATCAAAAATCCGGCTGAGCCAACCCAATACACACCCAAGGCTCCAACTGAGTAATTTCACATCACTCTGTAAGAGCCTGTGTTGGATGATTTGACTGGTTTAGTCAAAGCAGGGTGCTGTGTTTTGTTTCTAAGACACTTCTGCATCACTTGTGTTAAAAAGCGATCTTAAAAGATGTCAGTACTGAGTAATATTAACAATATACCTGGACAGCATTTTACTTGACTCCATGATGTCATTAGCTTCCATTAAATACACCCACTAAAAGTCAAACAGAAGAGTCCAACAAGCTCAACAGATCCTGTCCTCGACTGCCACAACCATGAATGCACATGGAGAAACAGAGAAGAAAGAAAAGGAGGTGCCAGCAGATTAGCTTCTTTGCCACTCCCTGGGAACTTCATGTAGAAAATTCAAACAAATGACTGATTTCAAATCAGTCCTTCCTTTAAAGATCTGTGCTAATCCTAGAACACGTAGGATTTTCATAGATGTACATATACAGAAGTCTACTAATTCTGTTCCTTAACATAATTTTAAAAAAACATCCAGCATTCAGACTTTGTTGGTCCCCCAGCCCCTTTTAAGCTCTATTTTACAATTAGCAGCACTTTTTATCTTCCCTTTCTCTGACACTCAGAAAGGAGATTTGCACGCACTAAACTAAATTATCTGCTTCCTTTCCTACCGCTGCAAAATCCGCTGCCACTCTGCAACGAAGGACCCAACTTGTTATTCCAGACAGAGGTTTTATAAAAGTCAAATGACAGGTAAGTCTTTCTTAATCAGTGTCACTTGTTTAGAGAAGCCTTAATTAAGCTTCATTTGGGGAAAAAAAGAAAAAAAAAAACACACAAAAAAACAAATCAATTGCACACAAAAAATGTACCCTT